AATGTAAATCAAAAAAAAAAAAAAAAAAAAAAAAAATAAGTTATTACTATTTTCTGTTGTATATAAATATTATTAAAAAAGAATATCATAAAAAAAAAAAAAAAATGCACATAAGTGCAAGAGAATTTTTATTTAAATATATTTTTTCCTTTTTTTTTTTTTTTTTTGAAGTGTGTGTGAAAAGAAGATAAAAAAAGAATAATATAAATGAATTAAATTTTCTTTATACTTTTTTTGTTTATTCCACTATATGCATTTTATTAATTAATTAGCTATTCTACAAAAATATACAAAAAAAAGTAAACAGTTGGTTGCATAATAAAAACATTACTTAAAATAGAAATATTGAAAATTACCTGATTTGATAAGGTAAGAAACTGCTGTTGTATTGGTTAGAAAAATTCTATTTTTTATTTAACATAAGATTTTTCATTAAGTAAAAAGGAAAAAAATAAGAAACAGTAATATTTTATATTGTTAAGTACTATTTTTTATATGTAAAATTTTTAAAAACACTTAATTTTTCTTAAATATTTGTGAAGAATTCTTCATAAGGTAATAAATTAAAAAGAAAATGTTATAAGTATTTACTTCAAATGTATATGAATATTTAATCATATTTTTAGAATATTAATTTAAGGAATATATATATATATTTTATTATGCACATATTATGAAAAATAAAATGAGTTTATAATTACATTATAAAAAAATGCATTAAAATTAAAATACATTTTAATTAAAAATTATGTGAAATAAATATTTAAAGGGAGATAATATATTCTTCAATAAAAAAAAAAAAAAGAAAGAATAAATAACATAAAAAGATATTTTTGTTCTCGAAAAGTAGAACACCAAATGCTTTTATTTCTATTTTTTCTTTTTAATTAATGTACGAAAAAAATAAAAAAGAATTTTCATTATAAGAATTAACTTTTTATATGTAATATAATAAAGGGCTAATGAGTTTAAATTTTTTATTTCTCTAAAAAAAAAAAAAATGTATAACACTTTTCTAAAATGAAATTAAAGAACCTTATCGTTTTTCTTATAATTAAGAAGAATCTTTGAATTAGGAAATTTTTATCCCTTATAAATTTTAAGATTTATAAAAAAAAAATTTTCCTTTTTTTCTTATATCACATTATAATAAATATTTTATAACAGTTAGTTTCTACCAGCATATATATTGAATTTGTTGTTGCCCATATAAAATTTATGAATGTTATATTGATAGTATATAAAAAGAAAAACTATTGTTATTCAATATATATTTTTTTTTTATATAGTTTATAATTTTTAATATATGAAAAATATTTTCAAATTTTTCTTCATTTAATGAATATCACTACTTTTATTCACACAAAAAGGTTCAATTTATCAATAAAAAGTGGTTATTTTGAAAGTATCATTCCTTTTTATGAAATGTAAAATTATAAAATAAAACTATTTTTAATTTATTAAAACTAAATGATAAATGGAACAGAATTAATTTTTCTTATTTACAGTTGTCTTTTTATATTTACTTTCTCTTTTTTTAATTTTACAAAAGCATAACCAATAAAGAAAAGGAATTACATAAAATAAATTAATTTATATAATGTATATAGAAATTTAAATAAGAAACTTTTGTATGAAAAGTATGTTATAATTTAAAGAAATGTATAATATTAAAAAAAAAAGCCATATATTTTAATTTTTTAATTAATCGTACTTTTATTTAGCTACTTACCTATTTAAATAAGTATTAATTTTTTTTTCCTTTTCTCAAAATTTAAGTTTCTAATCCTGGTTAAAATGTTAATAAAATAAATAAATTAAAATAAAATTATGAAATTCTTTCTGTCAAAAGGAAATTTTGTATTGTAAAATATAAGAAAAGGCATAAAAAAAAAAAAATTTGAAATTTTTTAAACATAATAAGTAGGTGTTTTAGTATTTTTAATTAATTTTATAAAAAATTAAAGAAAATTAAGCTTATTCATTTTATCTTATACTTTTTTTTTT